CGAGGACGGTGAAGTGGAAGAGGCAGAAGAGAAAGATGTGGAAGAGAAAGAAGAGACCAAGGAGTGATTTTATGATCCTTTTTATGGCTATATGGCTGAAAAAGAGAAAAAAAGAGGTCCCATAAACAGACGAAGAGTCACAAGGAGGCAGAGAGCGTCCACTTTATGACCACCCTTTCATTTTGTCAAGAGGCAACAGGAATCCCTCTTAATATTGCTGTCATAAATAGACACAATTATCCCTTCTCGCGATTATTCTAAAATGAGTTGCATTTCGATTTTTCTGTAGAAGCTTCAAACGTTCAAAGCTTTAGCATACTTTATTTGATAGAACAGTCGCCCTTGCAAAAAAAGGGTAAATTAAATCGCATGTGATGGAAAATGGCTTCGCTATTTTTTTCAATTTGCTTTGAATAACTGCGTCAAAAGCATAGCCAATTGAGATAATTAATATCAAAACATGACCAACGCCGACCTTTGTTGTAAATAGATTATAGCTTACATTTAAAAGAACATGGACGTCATTTCAGAGCCTTTCCGAAAATGTAAGCGAAATGTAGGCCTATAACTTAGTATTAAGTGTTCAAACATCATCGCAGCAGTTGCATCGGCTAACGGCCTGTGTAGAAACCACAAGTTTTATTATTATAATTGTTACTGTTACTGTTTTACTCGTTTTCATGTGAATGGCCTAGACAAAGATAGCCATTAGCTCCTCAGACATCTTTTTCTAGGATTTACCAGGGAATTGCAATCGTTTGAAATCCTTTGATGCTACCTAAACCTGGGGGAATTGCAATAGAGATTTCTAAATATAGAGATTTCATATGGTTTTAAAAGTGTTCTATATCAACATTATATTATTAAGTTATGTATGTAGCATTTACCCAATATACAATATTACACTTGTTGAAGACAATTTGTGAGTCTTGGGAAAGACAATTAGCTCAAAGCCAAGCAAACAATTTTGAGATTGTACTACGGCACTACCTAAACTCAGAGCCTTGCCTTTGCTGAATTTATATTCTTCACTTGTGGCATTGCTCTGACTTGATTGCAAGCTATTTCCCCAACAACTAAAACTGCCTATAACGCACATGAACTGTGTAAGATAAAACCATACAATTACAATGATTTTAAAGTAAGGGATTTTTTATTTTATTTTAATGTGCTGGTGACATAGCGTAGTTGTTTTGCACTGAATATAATCTTTATGTACGTCTTGTTATATATTGATGTTAACAATATGCTCGTTTCCTGGTGTTTCTCCTGTGAAAGACAGAATTGTGTGTCCCCACCATTGTTGATGTAAAATCACAAATAAACAAGATGGCTCACTACCATTTCTGTTTTTTATTGATATTACAGCCTCGTTTACTGTCATGATCTTTCCCCCCCACGCAATGTCATGTATAGTGCACACACATACATTTACAAAGAGTACAATCTAATATGCAGTTTACATGTCATTCTTTTGCCTCTTCTTTGCTTTTCTCTCGAAGTATGCTCTTTGGAAGGCTGTAGAGGCAAATATGCGCCTTAGTTTTCATATCCAGAAGTCTTTTGATGCAGACAATCCCAACAACTCAACGAGGAGGTGGCTTAACGTGCAACCATGTTGATGCTTTGATGATCACTTGATATTTAGCGTGCTCAAAACATTTACTCTCGGCGACAGGAGGGAAGAGGAAGCTAAATATTGACTAATTTAAACTTTAGAACTTATTCGATAAAAATAACACGGCAGACGTGCGTTTGCAAACGTATCCTTTTACCTTTTAAGGAAAGTTTGCGAATCCCGTCGGTTCACAGCATGCATACTCTCCAAAGCCAGTCGTGTTTGATTCATCCTCTTAATAACACACTTCCTCTCCTCAGGGAGAACACGAAGCTTTTCTTAATGAATCTTGGGATGAATAATGGCTGTTTGAGATTAGATGAACAAACATCTGGCGCGATATTAATGATGAGACTAAATAATTTCAATGCATAAGGGAGACTTTATCTGTCTATACCATGCAATGTGTTGTGTGAATCCATGGTGTCCAGACAAACCTCCGGAACGCATCGGAGCGTTAAAATCAAAGCGGAAATAAGAGGCCAAGTGCAGGTAACACCTTGTGTTTCCTCCACTCCTGCCCAGCTGCTGCTGCGTTTATTATGACGCTTTAGGATTAACGGAGGAAATGAGGAGTCAACATAAAATCCCAATATCATTGAAGCACAGACGGTGTAGAAATGTAGGTCACCTAAAGTCTTCTTATACGAATTGACCAGATACAATAGGCTACTAGCTTTATTATTGTTATACACATAAATGTAATCGTTCTTTTGCAATAGTAATTGGACCTTTCCTCCATGTTTGCAACATCATTTTACCCACTTTTAACTGAAAGACGAGCTCTATTTATTTTTATTTTGAAGGCTTATAAAATATATATTTGTTTTACTTTAATGTAATATTAGTTTTTCTTCTTGATTATGGACGTCTCTTGTGGTGGTTTCAGTTTCATGAAGCTAAATTATTTAACACTCCTGGTGCATCTGCCTGTCTGCTTTTTATCCGCTCAGTTAGAGAATAGCTGAATAAACTGTAGGCTGAGACATTGGGAAAGCAAATACTTAATACAAATACATTGAAACATTATTCAATTATTTATTTATTGGGTTCTTAGCATGTTTTACAAAGTTGTATATTTTTTATAATTAAAGGTAGATTAGGAGAATTGAAAAAGTAAGACCAAAACGGAATCATATTGTTTAGACACAGGACAAATATGAACAAAGCCATGCATTTTCTTCAATAAACAATTGATTCTTAATAGTTTAATAATTTTTAATCAAAACGAACATCTAGATAAATATAGAAGGTAAAACATTTAATCTGGGTGAGTTTTGAAGTGTAGTCGAACAAACAATATCGCAACGAAAACCCCGTGTTACCAACAGGCTTTTCGATTGCATTTTGTCTCTGTAATAAAAGGCAGATTGCCAGCAAGCTGCTTTTTAATTTCATTATTTTTTTCTAGATTTAAATCCAAGCTGAAAATGGCTTTTCCCTTCAATTGTGTCTTCTGAATGAAACAATGTTGCGTCAAAACGCAGCCTTTTTACCCAGGGTGTTTATAGCTCTATTTAGGTGCGTGTAGTCTTTAGAAAATTCCGGATGTGTCCCCCAAGTAACAGCTATTCTGCACCATTGTGTGTGTGTGTGTGTGTGTGTGTGTGTGTGTGTGTGTGTGTGTGTGTGTGTGTGTGTGTGTGTGTGTGTGTGTGTGCGTGCGTGCGTGCGTGCGCGTGCGTGTGTGTGTGTGTGTGTGTGTGTGTGTGTGTGTGTGTGTGTGTGTACTTTTACCACAGGGCTGACATAACCAATAAACTTTAGTGTACCTGCTGTAAACTTTATTGGCGGTGTAAAGGCTCGGCTTGGATGGCTCTGCATCTTTTGTCTGATGTGTGCCGAGGCTCAGTGTGGAGATCACGGCCTGCAAGGACAAGATGCACCGCTCATCCGAGTAGGTAACTCATATATTTTTTAATATTTGGATGTAGAACATTTATTTTATGAGTTACGCAGACTAAATGTCATCATTTCATTTTTCTTTTTAAAACTAAAAGCTCCTGCTCTATAGTGGATTTATAAGACAACAACTGCGCTTAAATTATTTCTCCTCTATTGTTTTTTCATCTGGAATCTTCTTTCTTTTCTATTTTTCGAATAAAAAAATTTCATTGCAATATATTTGTTGAAGGTGAAGACATTTGTCTGTAAACCCTGTGGCCACCTTATGTTGTCCTTGTTTCTAAAATGTACAAATGTACGTATTTTGTCCTTGTCGGTGTCGGTCTTTGATCCTGTTGTAAATCCGAACCGGATTTACAATATATATGTTGTTTTCAGAAGGTTGGAAGCTGCTGTTATGAGTGTGTGTGTGTGTGTGTGTGTGTGTGTGTGTGTGTGTGTGTGTGTGTGTGTGTGTGTGTGTGTGTGTGCGCGTGCGTGCGTGCGTGCGTGTGTGTGTGTGTGTGTGTGTGTGTGTGTGTGTGTGTGTGTGTGTGTGTGTGTGTGTTCTCTGCAGGTTTACAATCTCTACATGTCTTGCTTTTCAAGTTTAAACTGATAATACCCTGCAGCCACTCACATTGACATATACTCTTCATGTAATCACGCATGTAGATCGGGCATGTAGTTAATGTTTGATGTGAAGAAGGTAACATGATATCTGCTTTCTGACATATCCATCCTGAGAGTCAGTCAGGTACACAGAGGCCCTGATAGGAAAGTGTTTAGTTAATTGAAGAGTTAAGAGAAGAGAGGGAGAAGGAGAGAGAGATGAGAAGAGTAGAGGAGAGTTGAAGAGAAGAGAGGAGAAGAGATGAGAGTAGATTTTCTTTTCTTCTCTTCTCTCTCTCTCTCTCTATCTCTCTCTCTCTCTCTCTCTCTCTCTCTCTCTCTCTATCTCTCTCTCTCTCTCTCCTCTCTCTCTCTTCTTCTCTCTCTCTCTTCCCGTCTTCCCTCCCTATGATTGTTTCTCACACACTTTATTTCCCATTTCCCTTTGGATAGGTACACTATAGCATACTGCTTGTCCACCAGGGGAACTGTCATATTTTTTTGACGCACGTCTGATATGTGATTTATGGGAAATCTCAGCATCGTGCTAGCGTGTGGCCATTTTTAGTTTTGTGCAATCGACAAAAAGAAAGGGGAAGAGATGGGTGCAAACATTCCTGGTTGTTAAAGGGAGAAATTTACAGCTGAGTAATAAAAGTTTACGACTGAATCCTTTCTGCGATTGGCTGCAGCGAGCCACGTGGCCCACGCTCTATGAACATGAACTTTATGCTGTTGTCTATTCTCTGGTCCTTCCCTTGTATCAGCAGCAGACTAAGCTGGGGCGTAGAAACGTATTTTTTTCTTTATTCTCATATATAATCACTGCACAGACATTTTGGCGCTGATTCGTGTGATATTCATCCGTTCTCCGACTTCCTGACAGAGGGATCTTCGGGACAGTCACCGCCTCTCCAGCCGCTGCGTGTATCCCCCCCGGAGGCAATAAAGCCGCGACTGGGAAGGAAAAAAGGAGCCATGCTAGAAAAGACTTTTCTCGGCAAACAGACAGCCTGCCTCCACGGGCTCCTTATCGCCAGGGTGTGAAGACAGTACGCGGGAGATGTGCACTCTGTTGATATTTCCCTCTCACCATCGTGACCCCTCAGCTGCTCTGTTGGACCACAGCGAAGCCACAAACTACGGCGAGCCTATCTGGGGTAAGATTACACATATCTCTATCACTCTTTCTTAATGTTTTCATGTTGTGTTTGGCAATCCTTCGGTGTTGGCCGGGTTGAAATGATGAATGATGTAGAAGAGTGAGTGAGATGTCTATTCTGTGTAGTTGTGACCTGACCTGTAGCCTGGGAGGCTGCTGATGCCCACGGCAATTTGCATTGTGCTTTACTGGCTGATGTGGAAGCACCTGCATGTGTGTACTGGCCGCTTAAGCCTACATTAGCGAGGCATTTAAGAGATGCTGTGCCAATGTGTGGTGATGAATTGTCTAATGACAGTACACGTTGTCATCACTCACAGGCCCTGCTGACCAGGCAGTGACAAATTGCAGTCAATTGCTCTTATTAGATCTGGTTCCCATAGTTGTTGTCACTTGTTATATTTAGTCTGTGCCAAGGGCCTGGATATAACATGCTTTTTTACGCACGCACATGCACGCAGACACACATATGCACCCACTGAAACACAGATCCCGGCAGTGCCCCCTAGCGATCAGAAGCGTGGCATGTGGAAGTGGGCGGATGTTGAGGCTTGTTGTTTATGGCTGCTGGTTTTCGGCGGCGTTTCACTGCGGATGTCAGCTGACCCAGCTGTTACAATGCTGCCACCGAGGAGGGTTCCTGTGTCTGATTTGTTGTTGTCACCTCGAAGTATGAGAGATTGGTCTGCTCTATGGTTTTGTTCTGATATAACGAGATGCAGCGATGTGTTATTAGATGCTGTGACATAACCACTGACGACATTATGATTGTATTCACCCCATTGCATAAAAGCATCACAAATATCATCTTCATTATCATCCAAACCACCAGCAATAACGACACACAATTTAACATTAGTGGACAGGGACAGGGTGATATCATTGAACAGCATATTGTAGTACACCAAATTAGATTGTGATCAAATGCACTGCAGTTCGTTGATTTATTTTTGACTGAAATAAATGTTATTAAAAATGTCAGATGTTTTTCGCTATGTGTGTGTGTGTGTGTGTGTGTGTGTGTGTGTGTGTGTGTGTGTGTGTGTGTGTGTGTGTGTGTGTGTGTGTGTGTGTGTGTGTGTGTGTGTGTGTGTGTGTGTGTGTGTGTGTGTGTGTGTGTGTGTGTGTGTGTGTGTGTGGCAGTAGTACATTTTTGTGTGCATTTGAAGTTGAAAGCGTTTGTTTTTTCAAAGCTCAGCTTGCTGAAAAGCGCCCTCTGGGTTTTATTATTGTCTGTGCAGAAACCAAATATTTTTAGTGTCGTAAAGTCATTTCATGCGTCTGTGTCCCCTGCTGAAGCTCAACAGTCTCTGTGTTTCAATGTTGTAAAACACACTCATTGGCAAGCCTCGTTCTGGAAGCCTTTAAAGTCTTATAACCTACTGTTACAAACGTTGTTTGCTTTTCCTTATGAAACATTGCTGTTGCAATGGATCGTGTCGCTGCTGCCCAATATGCCTGCAGAGAGAAAGAGAGAGAGGAGAAACAAGGAAAGGGAGAGAGAGAGTCCATTTAATACATGACATTTGGATTGTTAGGTAAATCTTAGTTTAAATATAAGAGGGGAAACAGACTATTGTTTTGCCCTGCAGCGTTTTAAAAACCAGAGATAGCTTCGCATAAAACTCCATGAAGTCATGAATCTGTCCGCATCACCACATTTAGAACCTCACTTACAAATCCCGACAGGGCAAATTTTTTGCCTTCTAATGGTCATAATTTATGATGTGTGGATCAACATGCGCTCATTGGGCAACAGCTTCCTGAGTGCTTAACGAGCATAAAGTCGAACACTTCCGGACATTAATTGGGCTAGCCAGCGATGGTAAAGTGCTTATAGAGGGCTTTACATTGTTAGTATGTGAATTACTCCTTATTAGTAAGGTTAGAAGCGGGGGAGAGGAAAAAGCATCAGGGGCAGACCACGCTTTGCCTTCCTTGCTGTGTTTTTAATCATGGCCGATAATGTAGAAATGTTACAGGTCCCATATAACTAATTCTGAGTGATGTTGTGCTGTGGGATATTGATGTATAAGAATGCAAAAGAGAAGTTAGAGGTTCATGGACGTGGATGGGCCCTGTTGTGTTGTATGGGGAGCAGGCTGATAAAGTAAGGCCTTCGGCTGAATAACCAATTAAGAGCCACGTTAAAACCAATCCAGCATGATAGTAGTCGAATATCCCTCAAAGATATAACAATAATAATATAAATGATTATAATATTCATAATAATAGCCCTGTTGCCAATGATCTATTTCCATCATGCGTATAGCCTTCCTTGCGCATTCACCTAGGCTACTACAAATGAAGAGGATACACTATTCATTATTGAATTATTAATTCCAATTAATAATATCCATGGTTAGTACTTAGTACCAGGCTATTATTAATAATTTATATGTTTTGTCTCAGTCCTTCCTACTTTCGTTCATCGCCGCTCTTAAGATCCTTTTAAAGATCGTGGAAACGTGGACCAAACGGCTCCTTTCCTTCCTGCATCAAAAGCCGTGCATGTGATTTGCCTCACGGGCCGCAATAAAACACTAAAACACGAGGGGAAGAATGACCTTTCTAATTCTGCACACTGCCACAGCCTCTGCTGCATTCCTGCCTCTCCAGTCCACACATTGACTTTAGTGTTCAGCCTTTATTTACAACCTAAACTTTATGGACCAGTGGGGCTGTGAATAACAATTAGGGAAGATCTGTGTTTTGAAATCCAAATATGTTCTATATATAGTTTAGATAAAGCTTAACAGGTATATTAATTAAAAAAGTAAACTCGTTTTATATTGATTAAATTACACCAATTGCTTAGTAACGACAACAGAAAGTGTTATAATAAACCAAATAATCATCGTGTTCTCATGCTGTTTCTGGCGCAGTGAGTATGACAAATCAAGAAAGTAACACTGACTGCCATTCATCAAATGAATCACATTCTGAGCTTCATTTGAATTGTGGACAATTAAATTCGAATTTACTTTTTTTTAGTTTTCTGTAAATTGTTGTTTAGTAACATTTAGCAACACTGTGGGTTAAAAGTGTATTTAGACAAATTGGGTTCCCAGAAGTTGTATTCTGCCATGTATGAGTGATTGTGCGTCCCATCTTAAACTGATTCGTTACTTATTATGAAAGGGAGGATGAAAAAAATAATGCCAGGAAAGCAACTTTAGTGCTTTATTTGTCTACAATGTGTGCGACGAGGATGTCACATATGCCCACGAATAAGGTGAAGGGAAACTTTTATTGCACCAGCTACTTCCTTCTCTTTGTTCTTGTCTCTTTTATGGGCTATTCAGGATCCCAAACAACAGACCAAACAGTGTTGCACGTTTAGGCTGCAAGTATTCACCCTATTGAAGAAATCAATGATGTGGACCAATAGACTGCTGCGTTTGAACAGACATTATTCAATAACTGTATTGATTCTTTTTATTGTTATCTATTATTGCCTGTTGCGGAAAAAAGAAGATAATGTGAATGATATTGTTTTAAATTAATATGTGGAGCTGCATTGTTTTATCCTGTCTAAACGCGCTTGTTTTATTTTATTTTTTTTTAAATGCCGATGGTGGAAACCTGCGTTTTTATTAGGTGTACACAAAGTAATTTAATTATATTGAACACAAAAACAGAGTGGTTGAAGCTGGTCTCTTTTATATTATTAATGTGGAATTTTACGCATTTAGAGGTAGCAAATTTCTCTATGTCAGGCGTCTTGTTAAATTTTTGCAGAACACCTCTGAAGTCATTTTGTAACCCATAATTTGCTACTGAGATAATTATCGGTTCCCCTTCCCCCTGTGTGTGTCTGAGGAATGTCGAAGTATGATCAGAACAGTGGAAAAAGACTGGAACATGCATAAGCATTTTAACACGTTGCATTTTACTCCTATTTTGATGCGTAAAAAGGAAAGGATGATTTATTGTTATGAGTTAAAGAGACTGTACCTGAGGGCTATCGCCGGGCACAGTTGGTTTGACGTTTGCTGGACAGTCGCATAACTGATTAGATTTTCAAAATGCAAAAATGATCTTCTGAAACGCAGCTCTTTACTAGTAATTCGGACCTACACACGCTGTTTGCCTTTACTTTATGCCTCCACGTGCTGTGCAGTGCGTTCATTTCTGGATCTGGGAGATTGCTGCTCGTGTTGCAGGGCTTTGCTGCAGAGATAGTTGTTGCATGGTGTGCTGTGGAACGTCACTTGTTTTATTGCCTTCACAGAAGAGAGACCATAAACGCATTCTTACCACCTACACCCTCCCCCAGTTCACTGCAAAAGCATTGCAATTGCTCACATGCCAGATAATTCATACGGAAACATTAACAGTGTTAGAAACTCGTCGATATGACCAAGATAAACAATAAATGCCAATATTAATTTCAGTATCCACACAAAGCCTGTCCGTCCTGCGGGATGAGGGCATGTAGATGCAGCCCATCGCTGCAATGGTGTTGTGAAATTAAAACAGCATTTTTGTTCACACACACACACACACACACACACACACACGCACGCACACGCACACACACACACACACACACGCACACACCCACACACACACACACACACACACACACACACACACACACACACACACTACATCTATTCCAGAAATCTCGAAAATTCTAAATCGCAGGGAAGGGTTCTGACTTATATTTGAGTAAATGTGTGTAATTGCTGATTTTCTGAAATAAACCCTTTAACACACCGTTGGAGTTGTGCTCACATGTGTTTTTATGCAAATGTTGTGCCTTGCTTTGAATGTGATCATATGCTACTGACTGACATTGCCCACATTTAGCATATTCTTACTCCTCAAATAGCAAATATTCTTAAACTTCAAGTCAAACATTTCTCATCCAGCCTCGCTCACAGAGTGCCAATCCAACTCTACGTTGTGTTTATCGGCATTTAGCACTAATGTTCAAGCTCTGAGCTAAAAGCTACAGTTTCTCCTTAACTCCTGCCTCTCAATTGGTTGAGAACGGTCAGCTGACGTTGTCATATTGTCTCTCACCGAGCCAAGCCTCGGCTATAACACTCGGGTTTGTGCGTCTTAACCGGAGATTGGAAATTAATAATATAGAATCCTCAAACTAGTCCACGTCCAGTTAGAGAAGAAGAAAGTCGAGGGGGGAAAAGAAGACATTGGAGAAAGGTGTGGTTGGTTGACACAGACGGGAAGGAGATTTACTGAGAAGGAGATTGAAAAGCGACCGATAAAGAAGTGGGGAGAGTTGGAGAGAGGGATACAGGCAAGGTATGAATTCTTATTTCGCAAACCCTTCGCTCTCCTGCCATTTATCCGGTGGTCAAGATGTTTTGCCTAACGTACCCCTGAACTCCACCACCTATGACACAGTCAGACATTTTTCGTCGTACGGTGCTGCTGTGACCCAGAATCGGATATATGCACCTTTCTACTCTCCTCAAGACAATGTCGTTTTTGGCTCTGGCAGGGCACAATATGAATATGGATCAAACGTGTTTCTTCAAGACAAGGACGTGCTCCCTAGTTGCCGGCAAACAAACATGGGACTCAATTCACAAAGCCACATTGCTCAAGAGTATAGTTTGGATCAAGGAAGAGCAGGAGCGCAGGATCAGAAAACCAACATCCCGATCTACCCGTGGATGCAGCGAATGAACTCACACAGCGGTGAGTTTTACTACGACAAATAAATTAAGGAAATGGGCCAGTTTTACGATATGTCTTACCAAGAGAGTAAGTTACTTTTTATGGCCCCATAAAACATTACTGTATCCCCTAGACTTGTAGATGGGCCTTTACATGTGCAAACAAACAGCTTTCATATTAAGAGAGATATAGTAGATATAATCAGTAGCGTGAGACAGAGAGAATACATTATGATGCTTTCATTATTTTAGATAATAAAGCAAAGATGCCCTTTGGGATAGGATTTCTCTATCAGTTAAAATGTGTTTGGTTTTCTTAGTGGATTTGAATAACAATTACGATGATAAAAATGAGATAACACTTATTCCTAACTGCATTAAAGTATTATTAGATCACAGACAGAAGCATGCGTTTTTTTATTTAAAATGTTCTTAACTTTATAAACAATTAAATCAGTGAATTCACTTTGTATTTCAGCAGGAGTGGGCTACGGGACAGACAGACGCAGAGGACGTCAAATATACTCTCGTTACCAAACACTTGAGCTGGAGAAGGAGTTCCATTTCAACCGCTACCTGACCCGGCGCAGACGCATCGAAATCGCCAATGCGCTTTGTTTAACAGAGCGGCAGATCAAAATCTGGTTTCAGAACCGACGCATGAAATGGAAGAAAGAGAGCAACCTGACATCCACGGTGACTGGAAGTGAACAGACAGCAGCCTCTCCGGAAGAGGAACGCAGTGGCGTAATTGAAGAAGAAAAGGATGAGGACAAGAAGAAATAATAGTTTTTTTTAAAGATGATGGGAAAGAACACCTGATGACCATTAAAACCCAACATAACTACCTAAAAAAAAATTGACATGGACTTGAGAGCGACTTCACTGCATGATGGCTAGCCCGCAGCTCTCCCACTTATATCCCATGCTGACCACAAGAGTGTTGAGCCTTAGATATCAAGATTATTTCAGCCATATATGGCCCCCTTTGACATTTGGAGCGCTGATTTTTTTATTGCAATGTCTCACTTGTATTGTGAAAATAAAAAGAAGTGTTCATTTATACGTTGTTTCTCATGCCAGTAAAATCTATGTATTTATCCCCCAACACCCTATCCATCACTGTGAACTCTTTGATCACCTCATAAAATACAGTGTTGGTCAGACTTAACTCAATGTTGTACATGCACATTCCACGGAAGCAAAGCAAAGGACTGGACGGACACTTTATTTGATCCTAGTATAACTAGTACTTGAATCATCTGTTGAAAAGTGTCCTGCATAAACATGAAAGTTGCACGGATATAGACTACAGTCCACACACAACTGAAATGCCTGTATATAATCAAAGTAACAGTATACTATGTAAATCCAATGAAGACTGCATTTAGCCGCTTTGATAGACGCTGCATAACATAAAACTGCGCTTATCCCTCTTTTGTTTGATAATTGACACAGTAGGCTTTCCTTGTGAGATAGATTTGTACACTAGTAATTCTTCACATTTGTTTGGGAGTTACGAATTCATGTTTTGTCATAACTGTGTATCATGCAATAAAATATTTGTAAAAACTTAAACATTGTCTTGTGATGGAACATTGCACTTCAGATGACATATTAAGACTCCTTATGCACCAAACTCAGAGCGTGAATCTGGTTTGTTATTACATTTTAATATCATCATTACCTTTATGGGGAATTGAGGCTGTTAAGGCAATTGGGAAACAAATAAGCTAATTAAGTGATTTTTAAGCAAATGCTGGCCTCTTTAATATGAAAAATGCAGCTTAATTGGCTTCATAGGAGCCCGAGAATGAGCTATGTTCCAATATCTCTACATTTTTCTAGTTGTGCTCCTATAACATAACTTCCAGACACGTAAAATGTTCACTTCCATATGCGTAAATATGTTTCTACCAAATGAGCACTTTAAAGTGTAATCGTCATTATTATTATTTGTATTATTGTTGTCATTGTTCTTATTAGTATGATATGGGGCTGTTGGTGCACTCGCAGTGTGTCAGGACAGAGATCTCTGGCCGGTTCTGACCGTCCTGCCCCATACCAGACACCAGATGACGCTCTTGTCTTACTGTCCTGCCCTTTTTGCGCTAAAAATCCCTGCCTGGTCCTCAACAACAGCTCAAAGTTTACTGGACACGTTTCTGCTATTCATCAATATCCCCATTGAGTATCAAAGCCAATTTATGACTGGCCAACATGTGCACGTGATCCCATACAAATACCCCATATTTGGGCAGCGCACGTCGGATCAAGAATTAAAAAAAAGATACCAAAGCCTACTCCACCTATAAATCGTGGATTATTTTTTAAGGGAAGACAGCTCTGAATTTTCCAAAAGCGGCTACAAAGAAACGCAATGATCAACAAAAACAGGGAAATAACCGCAACTTGCATCCCGCAACTATCGCTAGTTTAGAAAAGAAATTGTCGGTGATAGTTTGAAAAAAATGAGCTCTTATGTTGACAGCTGCAATCTCAGGCAAACAAGCGAGACAACTTCTCCTAACACCATGTTTAGTTTCGATCTTTCCGGGCGCCCGTCCAGCCACTATGAAGGTGTTAATGTGAACGGGATATTCACTTGTCCCGTCCCCACGACCTCTGTTGAACGGGAGGAGATGAAAACTAGCCTGCGTGGCATTACGGATACTCCTCTCCCGTCAGGACCACAGATAACCATGGTCTCCAGCAGCTCGTCCATGGACTCAAGCGGGCTGAACTATGGCAGCAGCACTCTGCTTGGACGAGGGGTGGACAGAGACCCGGAAAGGAGCGCAAAATCCGTCGGCAACAAGAACCACGACAGCGAGAGAAACGCGGAGAACACGCAAACGGTGAAACGACACACAAATGTGAACCAGCGTCAGGACAGTGAGCAGCGGCCACAGATTTATCCATGGATGACAAAACTGCACATGAGCCACGGTAAAGTTTGTCTATTTTCTAAAGTGCGACTAAGATGCTTTCCCTTATTCACTCTTTACGCTGCAACACTTCTTTTCGCCCAATCCAGTTTCCCTCTTGAGTTTTATAGGCCAAACGCAGGAAATAATAAAAACTCGGTCATAAATTTTATGACAAAGGCATCCATTGCTCGTAAACCTGCTCTGTTACGGTGGAGAGGTGATCTGTGGGCTGATTTATGGAGGTATAATTGGATAAGAGAACAAAACTGATAAAACTATGAAATAATATTCACAAATTCAGCTCCAAGTATTAGTTTTTGCCCTGCTGAGTTTATATTATTAGTTAATGTTTTACATTATCAGACTCACTGTGTATGTGTGTGTGTGTGTGTTTGTGTGTGTGTGTGTGGGGGGGGTGCTTTAGCCTTAAATTGAACTCTGGGAAACACCAATGCCCTGACCCAATCATGAACTTTTCACCTCTAAACAATTTGAATATGCCTTCTGCTTGACAATTTATGCTGCAGATGGACAGTGAACACATTAGCTGCGAAAATAATACTTTTGTGTTGTGCTCCATATGCAAACATCCTGGAGCACACAGCATGGACGTACAAAAAAAAGTCCATTTGCAGAAAAAGGCCTGTTGCTTTACTTAGCACGCTGAACAAGTCTATAAATAGGGAACCATATCTGGAAATCATCAGATTCCATTTTCTAATCCCACTTCTTTAAATATTACACATCCGTTTTTCCTCCCACGATGTTATACTCCTGCTGCGTATTAGTCCAAGGCCAGTGTTTACAGGGAGACCAGCACATTATTAGTTATCCTGTTTTACATATCACAATAACATAAAATGTCTTAAGTCTAATATATATATTATTATTTTTTGTACTGTGTTAATGCCAGGAAAGAAAGAGGGGCCTCCTTTCTTAAAACTGAGTTTATGTATTGCATCCTAACATCTTCATGAGGCTGACATACGCTTTTAATACACATATCTACAGTGAGTCGATATCAGGTTAAATTATGTTAAATACATATGCGTATTTTAAACAAGTGAAGGGGGTTTCGTCATAAATTAATAGATGTATGCTTGTAATGTTATTTTTGTATGGATAGTCAATATTTTAAAAATAAATGTAATACTATAAGCCTGCTATTATTATATTTATTAAACAGTATAATGCTCCTAACTGATTTTAATACCACTTCAGAATCGGAGGGTAAACGCTCCAGGACGAGTTACACCCGCTACCAGACTCTGGAGCTGGAGAAAGAGTTTCACTTCAACCGGTACCTGAGCCGCCGCAGGCGCGTAGAGATCGCCCACACCCTGTGTCTAAACGAGAGGCAGATCAAAATCTGGTTCCAGAACAGACGTATGAAGTGGAAGAAGGACTCAAAGATCAAAGTGAAGGAGTAAAAAGTGCAGGAGAGACCCGGGTGCATGCAGCACGTTTTCAGCCCCACACTGCACAGTGCTGGAGTGCCGCCTGACCTCCGGATGAACTGCTAGGAGCAATGACATCATGACACCGCTCTGTGTGCTTCATCACCAATTATGTGTCACTTGCTGGAGTTTGGGACCTAATGTATTGAATATCACTCTCTTTGATCAATCGGTTTACATTTCTAAATTAATTTGCAGCCCATGCGATGATAACCTCACTTTGCTGCACGAAGGGGACAAGAGGTTGAGGGGAGCTGGGGTCCTTCACGCTGCAAGGCTGTGTGGTCTGCAGTGCACTGAAAGGCACAATGCTACTAATATATGTTTTTAATTAGGATAATAGTGGAGGAGGCTGGGCAAAGGCCTGTATCATTTCAAATATCATCATCATGTGATAAAACGTTAAGGTCAGTGAATCAATATAGAAAGACACAAATATTTCTGGCTGCAATCTTTCCAAAATAATAAACAGATAGTTTATCTCCAGTAAAAATACTTTTTCTTTCTACTTTTGGAACTCACTCTACCATGTTGCAGCGGTTGAAGGTGAGATAATGTCCTGTGAGATAATATCGTTGTGAGTGGGTTTCTGTGAAGGCATCTTCCCTGTTGTTTGTTATATCCTTGTGAATTTGAATCATTGTGTATTATTCAGTCACTGTGATAATATTGTGATGTGCAATGAAGCCATTTATTTTGCCCTCTGTAAACTTACGGTGCCTGGAATAACTGATAGATGGCTCGATTGTCGATTGTAACCAATAAAGTCTCATCAAATTAAATTAAATTTTCCTATGGTCAGTATGCACTTTTGTCTCATTATTTTTCTCATATCAGGGATAGGTATTCGAATCTCAAAGCTCGCGTATATTTAATGACTTGTGTGCTATAAGTTTTACTGAATTTAACTAAATGTACCCTAAAAAAAGGAGACTACGCTTTTTAAATATTATTGTGTTTTATTCCACAGATCACGTTTTCTTTGCGTCAATTTCATTGACTGACAAACGCGCTCTGAAGTTTAAGGCCCTCATAAAACTTTATTGCCCCTTTTTCCAGCACTCAACTATAGGCAGACTGCCGTTTCCTGTTTTGCAAGGGAAGGAAGGGACACTTGCCTGTGATAACACTAGCCCACGACATGGATGCAAAACTTTGGTTTCCTGTGGCCGCAGAGAAACGCGTCATCAATGCTGAGGCCATATGGCAACTTTATGATATCGCCATGCTCTTTAATTCTGGCATCATTACACTGAAGTTAAAACAACACTATAGTGACCTTGTAGCCTATCATGCTTTTGCCTGGTGTCTGTATCCAACAGCTTTCGTCGAATTAGTAGTAGTATGACGCAGCATAGCCCAAGGTTGTGAGGTAATTTCTCTATAAGCTACTACTTAAAGAAAATAAAAATCAACTCACCTCTCAACTAATAGCTTCATATTAAACTCCCTTGACGGTTATGAGAACCGGTCAGCACAGCGTCCACTTTCTCTGCGCTCTGTTGGGCCTATAACTATATATGGACAATGTATTGAATCCCTTTTTGAATGTCTTTCTTTTTGGGTATTTTAAAGTTTACAAGGTTACACATGCCAATTGCCCCAAGCAGGGCCTGTGAATGGTGCGCAGGAAGCACGTGGTGTCATTTAAGTGGGTTTTATGGCCTGGAAGAGCTGACAAACCTTCGATATATACACATCATATATAATCTTAACTGTCCGGAATCGCAGCTGCTGGCTTCCCCTTATCTGAGGAAGAAAGGGCTTTGTGGCAGTGAGGATGCAGTACCTTTCTCCGGACTGTGTAGTCGGCGGTGCGGATGACTGCGAGCTACTGCAGTAAGTTGCTTTTAACTTCGCTTTCACAGGCCTGCGACTCTGCCGTTATTTAAATGGGGAAATACTGGGTACGTTTTATACCATTACCGTCCAAATTAACTGTATTAATTGATGGTGAATATGCGTTTTATTATGTTATTATTTTTGTCTTTTAAAGGTTGGTGAAACTGTTGTTTTGAGGCATTTTTAAGGAGATTTGTTGTCGCATATTTAGTCTGGAAGAAACGGAATTAATGCCGCTCATGGTTATTGTTTTGTAATGAGGATGATTGTTTGTGCAGAATCCTCTTTATATTTGCACATGCTAGTTAAATTATTAAATGCAAAAAAGGGTATTTTAATGCATCTCAAAAGATATGAGACACAGTGGCAGTCGGTTTGATTCAACAGTTTGCTTGGCGTAAAATAACAAGCCACATATTTGAGAGGTGACCGAGGGAAATAAAAGTCAGACAGGACTATTAAAAATCTTCATCAGCTTCACGGTCCACTGTACCTCTCCTTCTCTCTCAACATAGACTTACGGACACTTTTTTTACCAATGCACTTTTTGAGTAATTCTTGTTTTAATTCCTTTATTTTCAAGGGTGCATATAGTGCAACCGACACAGTTTATTTAAAATATAATGTGACTTTTGTTCCGTGTGTAATGCTAAAATGTTGTTCTAGTTGAAATACTGCACCATAAAAGCTATAAAGTACATACGCTCCTTATTAAACTGCTTAATCTCACTGTGTCACCTTGAGGTTCGTGTTTGTCCTGGTGAGCATCTGTTGTTTTAGGGTCATGTCTGGGCCAACAGTCAGGTTTGATTCAAAGGCACTTTGCAGTGTAATGATGGCATGTTTAAACTCAGAGCGTGTGAAACACACAGTGAGGATGTGAGTGTGACTATTGCATGTTTTACAAACGCAACGCAAATGTGTTCTCCATCCGCATACCCCTTCTGACTTGTTGTCTTCTTTGCATATCACTAGTTTGATCAGTTTGGAGACTGATGAGGCGATGTGATTTTAATCTCTATAATCTTTCTGTTGCTCTATTGTAGCTACACTATTTACTTTTCAATGTGTCTTATAAAGCTGTTCAGACGGGAAATACCTCCATTTTATTAATCAATGTGTGGAATTGCAAATTGCTCATTTTGGTATTACGTTTTGTATGTTAGTTAAGCTGGCAGAGCAAGGTGCAGCAGATTTGACTCTTAATCAAATGATGGGTGTCCAGGCTTCAGGTTCAGATGTTTTAGAATCTGTAAACCCTGATTAACCTTATTTTCTTTATTGTTTAAACTAAAACAATAGGATAACTATTCAGTATGTTTTCAAGTGTGCAGGATAATGAATTATACACCGCCAATAGGGGGCACTGTGTAACACGCTCCTGTGTGGGTGACATACTGTGGGGGTAATGTGTCCACGTAAAAGCATGGATTAGTGCTCTGTCCATTGCATCATTTTATTTTTATATTGGCCTATTTTTTTAGCAGTTGCGTTGTACTCTTTACTGTTATCAGAAGGAAACAATATTATCAAACTCCCAAACTAAAAGAATAATATAATATTTAAAGAGTTGTTTCCTTCAGAACAACGTAAAATAGTAGTTCTGCCACAATACCAAGGAACAAATGTATTATGCGATATGAAACCTTAGAGGACCTTTTATTATAACCGATGTTGTGTTTTTTCTAATGACTTTCAGTCCTTGCATCTTCAGAGGAAGCTTGAATCAAGCTTCTGAATCAAAGTCACTCCAGCCTAAAACAATGATAGCACTTCAGTAAAAGTGTAACAGTCTAAACATCCGTTTTCACTGCTATGTTCTGTACTGTTGTATTCCTTTATTTGACCTGTGGAGCTGACACTGTCATCATTCAATCCACAGAGGTCATTTCCGGGTAGGCACAGACTTCCCTTTGTCTCAGTCCAAAAAGGAATCATAAAGTCTCATTACATCGTTTTCCAACACAGCCTAAATGTATTTACAATGTGAAGACAAAGTCGTGAGTTTTTTATGGACTGTGCGCAATAATTCAGCACCATTGAAGTCCAGGGATTTCTATTCATAGAACATTTGCCCAAGGAAATACCAAAATGCTTGTAAATTAACTTTTACTGTCTGAATATGACCCATTCTAAATTGTTCTGTCCTCGGTCCCAGTTCTGCACGAGCCCACACATGTCAAAGCTTTTCTAGGGCAGCCTCCCTTCAATTAGGATAGATGACAGAGACCAGGCGCAGAGGGACAAACTGAAGCATCATTCAAATGAAATTATAACGAAACATAAAAAAAAAAAGTTCCTTGTGTTTTCTCACTGCAAGGTGAACTTTAGTCAAGTTGTAGGGGAAATGTAAATATAGAGTTTTCGATTAGTTTATATCATCTGTTGCTCATGATTTGATTTAAATCCCTTCTTGTGAAATAGTACCTTTGTATGATATTGTGGCCATTTTAAATGTAGCAAAAACGAAATATGGACCACAATGCATTCATTCAGTTCAACGTTGTAAGCATGATTTATTTGACCTACTTGCTCGATTCATTCAGGAATGGTCAGTAGATATTCAAAATGTATTTGTTTAAATGTAAATATACATTTTAAAATGTGTTGAATGTTGGGCTCTTTGTCACACATTTTAATTGTGCAGGTTGGATAAAAAAATTCATGTTCACAAAAAAAAAGACTGCTCCTGATTTTCGTTTTCTTTTTTCTTTTTTTCAGGCAGTCCATCGGGTCAAATTGAATGCATGGGACCGTGGATTTATCAGTAAGTGTTTTCAATCTCCCCACGCCTTTCCACCTGGCTTTAGTCAAGAGAAGTGACACTTTGTGGAGGTTGTTATTTGTCTGATAAACAGCTGGCTTAACCCCGGGTACTGGTGTCTGCACTCTTAGCGAACTGGTTAGACAGCGGTTTTAAAAATCACATTGTTTTTTTTTGCTTTTATTTCAAACTCTAAAAATTGAATTACTGTCCTCCTGCAGAGTACTTTTACTTTAATAGCCAGCCAAAAGTTGCACTCTAGTTGCACAGGTGAACTGGATTTAAGTCTGCAGTGTGAGTCTAATGAACCACAGCATTGCTCTAATGAACTGCAAACCTACCCATGTTTTCTGTGAGCATCCGGTATCTGAAAGCACCTCTGCTCCCCTGGCGGCTGCTGTTAGAGGGTATTCATATCCAACTAGTCTCCAGTCTGTCTGCACTTCATTAAAACTTTTTATTTTAACTGGACGATCCAGTTTAACATTATTACACCTGGGGAGAGTAAAGGCTATTAGGTTAAGGGTTTGATTAAAAGCGCATCGTAACAATGTTCATCAGGGAGCAGATTATTGCACTGTCTGCATCCAGGTCAGTTGCTGCTGAGCCACCAAATGAAAAACGTGCCATACATGGACACAACCACGACCTCCTCATAGTTTTGCACAGATTTATTTTGTTTACATATGAACATGTGTGAACACGATACTACTGCTGTTATTTTACAAAGGGGAGAAAAACAGAGTTTAACAATTTCTCAGATGAACAAATGAAACATCAAATTAGTTCGCCTGAGGGCCCCATTTTTTGTACTTCTACATTATAACTAGTTATTGAACTAGGTGCACGATCTGAAAGCCATTTGTGGGGAGAAAGAATGCATTGCTGTCCCCCCATCAATAATCCTTGGCAGTGAACTATTAGAATCAGTCAAACGCGAGGGGTGAAACGCAGGTCAGGCTGTCTAACTAATATTAAAATGCGTGCGCCGGCGCGAGCGAGAGGGAGTATGTGGTGTGCGTGCAGCTCCTTCACACTGACTGCGTGCACAACAAACTGCATGCATTTAGATGAGCATATGACAAAGTCAAATTAACATGGGTTTGTTTTTTTGTGACAATGTTCGTTTGTTCACTGTTATATGGCTAAAAATTATTTGTTCTTCAATCCAAGCAATCTGTGAAATTGATACACACTCGGAGAAATATGTAGATTGAGATCATTTCTGACGGTGTTTGAAGCCCCCTGTGCATTTCCACTGTAATCAATTCCATTGATTCACAATCTGAGCATGTTTGCTGTTTTTAATAACCCCGAAACAGGTCACATGTCTGATATTGCATTTTTCATCCGAGGCTTTTCTCATTAGCTTCCAGAGTGGCAGGAAGAAAGGTTACCGAGCGGTCAGTATGGTAATGGAGGGCAGAAGGAATGGTTGGGAACAATGGAAACTTATTTTTCATCTGTGCTGTCACGCCGTCCCTTTGTATCCGCCGTGTTTGTGACTGAATATTCATATATAGGAGCTACCTCAAAGGCAGAGGTTGGACGTTAAGAAAAGAGACCCCCTTGTCCCTTTTGCACACGACGCGCTTGTGTGTGCGTGTGCAGGCATATGCGTTTTTTTGTATAGGGCAACACATGTTAAAATCACATTTTATTGGACAGAAAAGCACCATTTATATGATTTCTTTTATAAACAACATCTCATGTGCAGTATTTCTCGCAGCCTGAATATTTCTTCTGACACTACTTTTTTCAGACCCTGCTTGCATAGAGGTTTGCCTGAGATATCTCCTTTGCAGTGTGTACCCTACAACACATTAGTTGTCTATATGTACCCTGTAGAACCGAATTTGTGTGAAGTACAAACAATCGCAAATACGTCTCTACAGGAATACATGGGCAACTGAAATACCACGCCATGGACTCTTCTGCTTCTGCTCCTCTTCACGTCTCTTCTGGCTTCCTTTTCCCTGCTATTGAAACCACAAGCATCATACACATACCGCCTATATCCAGGCACTAGCAATGCAATAACATTGTCACAAAGTGTATTCATAGTCCAGACAGCCGTAGATTGCGTAGGTACGCCACAGAGAGCAAACCCATGTGTGCAGTGTGCGGCTACTGTCTCAGACCCTGTAAAACACGGTAGGAACCAGGGGTCGTTTAAAAGTGACTGATTTACGGCTTTTATTGCTCTATAAAACGCCTCTAACATCCTCGCTATGGGTAATAGAAATGTCGTGTGCATTCTGTACAAACAGGACAGCCAGAAATGTCATTTCACGTCTCGTTTTTAACCATATTATGTAGGCTAGTTATTGCTGTGAAAATAGATACATCGGTTAACTGGCCATACTGAAACCCATATTAACTGACCCATATAGATTAAGTGTTACTTCTGCTCAGGCTTAATGTTTCTCCAAGTGGGAGCCTATGACTTTCTTTATTATTAGTATTATTATTATTATTATTATTTATTTTTTATTATTTTTATTTTTATTATTATCATTATTATCATTATTATTAGTATTATTATTAGTATTATTATTATCATTATATTTTCCTTGTTATTTTCGCTGCTGATGCGAAAACAACCACAATAACATTTTTTTAAAAAGCATTACAAATATATTATAATCTAGATGTTGTTGGGAAGCTGCTAATAAAGGGAGTAAACCTTACTCTCTTCAACCACAGCTGACTCTGAGATAAGAATGGGAAGCATACAGCACATGACAAGTTTACACAGCCAGGCAGGATCAGTTTACATTTACCAGCAGACCTCCAGTAATGTGGTCAGGGCTTCAGCCAGGAATAGCATGTAACATTTGAAGGCAGCAAGACTCATATATTATGCTAATTTTCTAATCGGTTTTTTCCCTCTTTTTACAAAGTTGAAATAAGTAGGACTATATAGTTTAAAGAAAACTAAAGAGTAAACAAATCAGTTGCATGTATTTCTGTATGGAATTTTTCAAATACTTCCTCTCAGCATTTTCTTTCAGATAATATGGGTTGTAGCAGGTCCACACACAGTCAGCTGAATTACATTGTAGCCACATGTTTTTATTGTAGGCCATAACAAAGGTCAAACAAGTCTTGCTAGTAAAAGGTAATGACATTCCAATGTTGTTAAAACAGAAGGCCGGGAGAAGATGAACATAATACAGACAAGAGCAGCACTTTTGTTAGAAAAAGCCTCAGAATTTAAATGATTTTTAATGGTGTTTGGTATTTTTTCATATGTATCTTTAAGCAGGACTTGCTGCATGTAGTGAGCTCTTTAGTTAAAAGTGAGGGAGTTCAATGGCTTTAACCGGTCTGCAGCGACCACATTTAACTTCTCTGTGACACAATACGACTCCCTTGCAGTTAAATCAGCAGATAATTGACACTCTCTATTATGATATTGGTTCTGAGACACCCTGTGTTCCCATGCTGGCTGGTCTGTGACATCATGATGCTCTGAACAGTTGTCAGGTTTGTGACACTGCAGTGGGGCTGCTGTTTTATGAACGGTGTGATTTCACAGCATATAGAGTAAGTTTGGCCTGTTGGCTGATCCACTGGAGTCTGATGTTATAATTGTATTGTGAGCTTTTCTACACTGTTTTGATGGTGTCATCACAATTACCATATTCATATTTAAATGTAATTATTCAAAGCTTTTGTTTAATAATTGTTGTATCTTACAGAATAACAATATCATTCAAAGTTAAAGGTGCATCTTACACTTTGGCTTTTCTTCTATTTGTATCCTTTTATACCATATTCTAGAACATGGCTTTTCTTAATTCTTATCACCTTATTTGTTTTTTTTGTAAATCAGCCAACCCCTTTGGTTCCAGCTGATGTATGCTGCTTTGACATTCAAAGCAGCTATACTGAAAGTACATGCCTGACACTTTCAATCAGGCACTTTTTTTTTCGTTATTCTCACCAAATTCCAATTAAAAGTTGAAGGCTGAGACTTTTAATTGATAGCCTGGGAAGAAAATGGACATCATTTCAAAATAGACAAATCTCTCATAATTGAATGAAGGCTTTTGTTTAAGCAGCCTGACTCTTCCTGTCCACCTTTTTGCAACATTATTAATTACCAGCCCTACTTAAAAAAAATCAACCACACCATGAGCATCTCAACACTCCAGTCTTTTATGACATTTAGATTCACTATTCAATATTAGTGCTGAAATGCTTATATAATCTTACAAAACTGATGCAGCTGTAATGCCTACGTGTATTAATGGACTGTAAGTTTCACAGCTAAAGAGCTGTTGGTAAAGCATGTGCCTTCATTAATTAGAAGATAACCTTTATATAGGGAGCAGGCTAACAACATGATTGGTTTGCTATTGTTGTGCCTTATCCTTGGCGGATCACCCATTCTACCTTTGAATAATTGAGACCAGTAGATGTTGCCTATTTTATTTTTTCCTTGGTCAGCAACTAGCGACTAGTTTTGTCCCCAAGATCAATTGCCTTGGTAAGACAACGAGAGAGAGGAGGGAGTGAGTGAGATAGAGAGAGAGGGGAAGAGAGAGAGATTTGTTCCCACAATGGCGACTGTAGGTATGCTAAATACCTCTGGTTCCTTATCCGGGAACTACCTCTTACTCTGCTATTGGGCCATTGGGTCACGTGGTAAAAGTAACTTTACAGGGCTGCTCGCAAGTAGGAGGGCTTTATGGAGCAGAAAAACGACAAAGCTAGAAAAATTATTTTCCACTCTAGAAATTAATGATCATGAGCTCGTATTTGATGGAGTCTAACTACATTGATCCGAAATTTCCTCCATGCGAGGAATATTCGCAAAATAACTACATCCCTGAGCATAGTCCAGAATATTACAGCCGCGCAAGGGAGTCTGGCTTCCAGCATCACCATCAGGAGTTATATCCTCCGCGGGCGAGCTACCAGGACCGCCAGTTTAACTGTGCAAGCATCCCTGAACCTGACTCGCCAAGGGGACATGGAGTACCCCAATCTGCGCACCTGGTGGTAGGGAAAGGGCAACCTGCTTCCTGTGAAACCCCACAGTTGTCCATGTCCCCCGCCACCCCACCGGCCGCAACCTCCGCCTGCAACCAAGCTACCCCGGAGCATCCAAACAGCACAGCCTCCTCCAAGCAGCCTGTGGTGTACCCATGGATGAAGAAAATTCACGCCAGCAATGGTAGGCAACTTGTGTGTTTATGTTCCCTGCACTCCTCATGCTCCTCTCTCCCTTTCCCTCCCTTTATCAGTCCCTCTGACTCCCATCTCGTTGCCAGCCCCTGCTCCGATAGCAGGGAAGCCTTTGAAATGGCACAATTGAGGCGGATTTACGACTCGGCATTGGTAATTACACCCACCATAAATTTTATAGCCGAGGTATACTCAGGGCAGCCGTATCACCATGTGGCTTCTGCTGTTATGTATTGCCCGATAGAGAGAGGGGGAGAAATGAATAAGAAAAAATTGAGCTTTGTAATCTTGCATTAATAATTTAGCTCATAGTTGGATGTGAGTGTCCTCTCATTACCCTGAGAAGTTCTTAACTTCCCATTTACATTTCTCAAACAGCTAAACATTCATATCCAATAAATCTTTCTAGCCATATCTCAGTTCAGGCCATTCTTGTTTACCCCTCCTTTCCTCCCTTCTCTGTCTTCCTTTCTCTCGACTTATCCTTTTTCCAGTTTCGGGTTACAATGGGACGGAGACCAAGCGGTCTAGGACAGCATACACCCGGCAGCAAGTCTTAGAATTGGAGAAGGAATTCCACTATAACCGATATTTAACTCGGCGGAGGCGCATCGAGATCGCCCACACCCTGGTTCTCTCCGAGCGACAGATTAAAATCTGGTTTCAAAACCGCAGGATGAAATGGAAAAAGGACCACAGGCTCCCCAACACCAAAGTGAGATCCTCTTCCTCCTCCTCCGGGTCCAACACAAGCTCAGCAGCCGGCGCTGTTGCCGCTGCCTCGGCCGCTAACACTGGGGCCCCCGACGAACTCTCCGGAGCACAGCAAAGCGAGGATATTACCAGGTTATAAAACCAAGAAGATCGGGGGTAGAAAAAGAACTTGTTATTTATAGAACAATTATATATTTTGTTTTCGTAGCTATCTTGTGCGGTTTCCTTTAAGTCCACAGTTATATAAAATGCATGTTATATAGCATGGATTACTGCGAATACCGATGAATTATTTTTACGTGACACAGGGTTTAATTTATTTGAAGCTGAATTAAAATGATGTTTTTTATTAAAAAATGTTTTGAATGAAGGATGAAAAAGTAGAAAAAAATATACATTTTATCAAAATGTTATTGTGGGCCATTGTTTTGCCCTGCTGCCCAATGTGAAATGCACAATCTATTTATTTCAAACAACACTGGAAGGAAATCAATATAATAATAGTTATTTTTGGTATAAAAATGCTGGAACACACCATTGATCTTGAACTTGTATGTTTTGGATAAAACCAATGTGTGAATTACCTCGTGTATTTCAGAAACAGGATTTTGATTTACAATTTAGTTTTGTGGTGTTGATGTTGTGTTTATTAGACCGTTAAAAAGCAGATTATTGTGAAATGCAATAAACGGAGTGTAGTGTACTTGTGATAATCATATTGGTCAATAAAACAGTGAGTGTCTACTAGTTTTAAATAGGTTTGGTCGAACTTCATTTTAGGCAAGATGAGGTCTGCTATTGTTTTGGATTCTCTTTTTGTGAGATTGCCCTAAAAAATGTACAGATGAATACTAGAACATTTCATGAGGGTAACAAGAATCACTGTGTTTTCAAACTGTGTTTGTAAATCCTGCAGCTCATTCTTGCGTCTTTGAATTAGCAATGTGTACAGGCAGTGTATGTTTGTTTGTTTGTTTGTGTTGTGTGTGTGTGTGTGTGTGTGTGTGTGTGTGTGTGTGTGTGTGTGTGTGTGTGTGTGTGTGTGTGTGTGTGTGTGTGTGTGTGTGTGAGTGAGTGAGTGAGTGAGTGAGTGAGTGAGTGAGTGAGTGAGTGAGTGAGTGAGTGAGTGAGTGAGTGAGTGAGTGAGTGAGTGAGTGAGTGAGTGAGTGAGTGAGAGAGAGAGAGAGAGTGTGTGTATGTCTGTGAGTGTGCGTGTGTATTTTAAAGCCTAAGTTATGACTGAAGTTATTTCTAAAAAGTGAAATAGTTTTTGCTGTGCATTATGTGCAACCTCATCAGTCTGAAGGGCATTAATTAGCTCCATGGAGAAGCACTGAGGCCTTCTGCACTGCCTCTGCTCCCTTCGTTCTGACTTGAACACAAAGCTGCATGCGTTTAATTTATAGGACATTTGTTAGAGATTATTGTTGTGAAAATATTCTTATTCATTTTGTTACATGAGTAGCTTCCCAACTTTTCTATAGTGCACTGCTTCATGCGGCTGAGTTTTCAAATGTAAAGAAATTTAAAAAAATTAAGTCGTGCAGATAGACTCAATGTAATGCGTCATGTGGTGTTGGGAGTAAACTGGCTGACCTTTGTTATCAGGCTCTGTAGCATTGCCTTGGCCAAAAGAAAGGAATGCTGATGTTTATTTGTATGTTCACTCTTTGACTTGTGCTTGTGTAAACTCTGTAACATATTCTCCTGTCTCCCATGTGGGCACTTTGCCTCCAGAGTGTGCAGCAGCTCGCGAGAATTCATAAAAACTACAATAAAAAAACAAAACACGAAGCGTCTCACTGCAACGTCATCGTCTAGGAGGACCAAAACACTGCAGAACTGTTTACGACTAGATCTGCTGGACTCATACAACATTTTGACGAAATACTTCTTAATCTGAACTCCTCCACTAAAGTGTCTTAAGATGTTATTTTTCTCACAGAGATGCATTCATTTTTTGTCGTTCTTTCTGGACAGAAGGTTTTCCGTTTTAACATGACTAAACCCAAAGACACGCAAGAATTTGATGAATTATTGAATTGTGACATGAATAGGGCTTATAAAATGCCTCTCGTAGTGGGGGGCAAAGGAGCACAAAGGGAAGAGGTATTCTCCATCATCAATCTTTCACTACAGAGCTTTGTGTTATTCTGCAAAACAGCTCCGACAGCAGCAAGTTTTAAGTTTACCAAATATTATGTACACGGCCTTATCCTTGAACATTATTCCCAAACGTGAGAGTTTAAATTGATTTTGAAATATAGCACATTAAGTGGACCAGAGCGGTTAACATCTGCTTTCTGGACGTGTCTTTTGGAAAGGCACTAGAATGGTGGTGAGACGGCTCTGAGAAATGAATCTAGAAGCCTTTATGTTGCTGGACAGATTAGAGAAATTAATGTTCTCTCCAGAGTCGCAGCATCCCTCCAACCCCGTATAGGCCCTGTCGCCTCCATGTCGCGAAGCTGAAAAGGTACTTTATTAAAGTTAGGAGGCGAAGTGGGAGAAGGCCGAGTTCACTTCGAGGACACATTTTCTGTCCCATTAGGCTCATCTCAGTCTGGATGGCCGACCTCTCCCACCCTGTGACCTGACTCCCTCTCTATACGTATACCTTCTTTGAGCACCCTAACTGGTCCCCCTTGGCCTCGGTTTTCTTTGTGAACTTTCTGCATGGTGCCTTTAGGGAGGCCTGCGGTGGGGCATCACTGAAAGTGTTGCTCCCTTTGTTAGTCAGAGTGACCCAGGACAGTGTTAAACTCTCGGACAAGTCATCTTCTCTGCATCCAACAGACGGGCTTCCAAACATGCACCTTCTTTGGAGCATCTGACACCGAGCTGGCAACCGTGTGGGCTGACTTTCATGGAGTTGATGCAGTGACCACAGAAGTGTACATGCAATCAGATGTGTGTGTTTGGTACCTTAAAACAAATAATAATAATTCATTTTTTTGCAGAGGAATTTTTAAGTCATACACTTATTTTAAACTGATAAATTACAATTCCAGTCAAATTAGCACAAAGCTTCTAAAAAAAGTCCTATTTTCAAGCGATTAATTAAATCCCCAAAAGTCTCCAAAACCATTAGGCCATAAATAGTCACTTGACTTCTGTGTGGTTTAAGAGAATAACTGGCCTCAGGTCAGTACTTCCTCTCAAAAGCAAGCTGCCAATTATAGCCACGTCTTTCTGACAGTACTGGGACAGTTGGTCATTGTGATTAGTTTATGAACAGGGACCTTCAACTCTCTGTAGTTACTAAAAAACCTTGCAAACTTTCTACTGACACCCCACTCTTCAGCCAAAGTTTCATTTTTAATCCAAATGCACATTTTTACGCACATGAGATAGAAAGATGTTTTCTTACGCTTCAACAGCATCATTGTTTGTAATAAAAACAGAATATATATGCTACTGTCTTTAGATAATAAACTATGTTTACTGTTTTCGCAAGCAAACTTAAATATTCTTATTTTGATTATTTGAAAACGTTTGGTCACTTCTGTGGCCATGATAATAATATTCAACGCTGAGAGAAAAATATTCGACAACATGCCTTTTAAGATAAACAGCTGTCACTGAAACCTAAACAACTCATCTGATAGTATAGTGATTGTTCAACTTCCCTTGGAACATTTAAAATTGCACTCTAAACACGGACCGGATGTAGTTTTATTTTGTTTAAAACGTTTTTTTTGTGAAGTAAAAATATTAGGCATACTTTGTCGGTATTATGTTTTTGTTTTCCATGCCAAGGAAAATTATTTACTTAACACGGCTTTATAAGGCATTGTTTGGTTTACGAGAATAAACAGAACGTGTGATTTCAAGCTATTATTCAAACAAAAGCTCGTGTCGTTTGTCAGTCATAGATCAGGATTGTTTCGCTTTATGATACTAAACTTTGAGATTATGTGCAGTTAGTTAAACTCAATATTTGCACAGATATGCGTCACTATGATAGAAAGTGCACACCATATACACATGATTTAACTAAGCAAATAATACCTTAAATCATTATCGTCAAAGTTATTCTAACCTAGAAGATCAACACAACAAAAGTATCAGCATAGTAGGCTATCTATTTAAACTTACAATTTAAAATAGTTTGTTTTATTTCTAGTTTTGTCCTGTAGCTTTGCAGCCGCTTTCACTCGGTTTAATCTGAAAAAATTGAGTGGCTGTAGTTGTTCTTAACCTCAGCACCGGAATATGGTCTTTATATGTTTGAAATGCAGTGTTTAAATTCCTCAACACTTACTCAGTCCTTACTGGTTTATTTTCTGACTGGAGAGAGACTGTTGAATCACACATGATTTTCAGCTCACATTGCACCGCTGCAGGCTCTCTGTGATTTATGAGAACCTCAGACGAGGACTCTCTCTTGGAAGATATACAAACTTTACACAAACAGCAATCGAAATGTTTGAACAAGAGGCGAATATGACACCAATATGATCAGATGTTGTGTCGTTGGTGTGGTTTATTACCTGTTTTGTATTGTCTGAGTACAAATGTGTTTTTTTTCTCCACTCGTCTCAGGTGAGTGTCTTCTTTAGCCACTCTGGTGTGTGATGAAAGGTCCGGGGCCAGTGCATTGTTAGTGTGTAGTGTGTTTAAACGGCAGCCATGGCAGTTGCATAAAGGCTGAGAGTTGAAACAGGGGTCACGCTGCTATTTTCCAGGGCCAGAGAGGCTCTCTCGCATTGACCAGCAGTGGGTGTGTCATAAATCCGTAAATCTCTCTCCCATCCGTTCACTCTAGAGAGCAGATGCACCATGTCTTTCTTTTTTTTTGTTCCTTTGCGTCTGTGGTGTCTGTGTCTGTGTGTGTGTGTGTGTGTGTGTGTGTGTGTGTGTGTGTGTGTGTGTGTGTGTGTGTGTGTGTGTGTGTGTGTGTGTGTGTGTGTGTGTGGTGTGTGTGTGTGTGTGTGTGTGTGTGTGTGTGTGTGTGTGTGTGCGTGTGCGTGTGCGTAGTGCGTGTGCGTGTGCGTGTGTGTGTGTGTGTGTGTGTGTGTGGTTTAGTGTCTGTTTAATGCATTTACATAAAACTAGATTTTAAAACTCCATCAGACATGTTACAATGATTTGCTGTCAGAGCTGGCAAACATTTCAAGCAGGGGGACAACAAAGCAGCTTGGATCAACACCCTGATATCCTGTACACTCCAACATCACATCATATAGGAAATGATGGCCTGTGTAAACTTGCCAGTAATACTTTATGTCATCATAACGCCTCTGAGAAATGTGTCATTAGCCTATTTGCTGCATCGTTGAAGACCTTAGAAATTAAAGTAATTTCCCCTCAGTTCAAGGTGTCACTGGGGGCCCACTTTTCATTAGCAAAAATGATCTGAATATGGGATCCTGAGACTATAGATCCACAATTATAAGCTAAGTGAAAATGCTCTTTTTATTTTATTTGCTGTCTCAAATGATTATCTTGTGCATTTGTGTGACCACCAGTTGCATTTCTACAACAGTCTTCTCACACTCTGAAGACAGATGCTGCAGCATTTGGATTCAATTTGAACATATAGTTAAATATTGTTGAATAGCATGCATAATTCAATGTTAAAGGCAAAGTGCATCATCTGAATGTAAACACAAAAGGGGAAACTCCCTTCCATTTCTTTAAACACAATCTGCCTTCCCACACATAATGATTTGCATAAACCTTTTGATAAAATGATTGCTAAATTCAAGATATTAATATTAATATATAACATTAAAGGTTTAGGAAGACAGATAGCATATGTTTTTATGATCAGATTTCATATGAAAAATATATATAACATATTTGTTTTTATGCTGCAGCATTATTTCATTCGAAACATTTAAATATTCAGAATAAAACATATTTTCCCTGAGTGAAAAAAAATCAAAATGTGACACTTTCAGATATTCCCTGGCCCAGAGCTGCAGGATTTATGCTGTGTGCACTCTGCAGAGACAGGCCAGGATTTACAGTGAGCTGTGCTTTAAACAGGCCCAAATTAATACTCTATGTTAATGCACATGCTAATGCAGAGTCAGGACTGGGAAATTGACAATGTGTGTCTTTTCCTCACGTATGAAGTGCAGTCTGCAAACTCTAGTCCTTTCATTTCACTCTGCATTGTTTACAGCAATATAGGGCACCGGGCTCATAAATCTTCGCCTTGCTCTGCCAAGACAGCGCCATTTGTATGCACCGTTTTAACCGACAGCATCCTCTGCCCATTAACGTCTTCTCCCCTTCTCTCTCTCAGTCTCCTTTTATCTGCACAGCTCTATCCCCTGGAAATACATTAACTGATCATCCGTGCGATTCTTAAGCTCTGAAAAACAATTATGTTTTTTGAGTGTAAGGAATATATAATTTACGAGTAGAAAATGCAAGATGGTGTTGAATTGCACAGATTCCCCCTGCGGTTGCATATAGCCTACTTCCCTATCAGTACCGTTTCCCCTGTTAGTTATTGGTATGGAAAATAAAAGTGTATCGACGATTTCCTCGGTTGTTTGTGTCAGCAGGCGAGAGAGCGCAGAAGGTAAGGAGGAATTGTAAAAGGGTTGACACCCAGAGCGACCGGCTCGCTTTTGTGTGAGAGAGGAAAAAATGATTTATTGCCACTGAGGCGGTTCAAACAGAGTTCACGGAGAATTGTGGTGGAGGCGCGGAGGAGCTAAATTATGATCTTGCTGAGCTAGTATATCATAGATCTTATCTCCAATTCAGAGAGTGTGTTCAAGGGTGTGAGGTAAGAAAAACAAAACGACTTTAATTACTTTCCTCCATTTCTGTCACCGCTGATACGGCCTGATTCACCTGTTGTTGTAAATAATAATAATAATAATAACTGTTATTGTATTTTTTATTGGGGGGTGTTAAAACAAGACACAAGAAGATGCCATTATATTTAAATGTATATTTATTTTAGCTCTAATGGCCTACATTCATCCAATACCAAGATTAACAGAAGAGACATTTAGCACTTCACTGCTATTTTAATGGAGAGTCTTAAAAAATAAAACCTGTTTTTATTTCCAAATTAAAACCAAGTCTCCAAGCTAGCCTTTTTATGTTTAAACTTTAATTATGATCAACAATAACATCATGTAGCAGTCATTTTAATGTCGATGGTTACCAATAATACGCCAAAGTGTGGGGCATGTTTGTGGTATTGTGCCCTTGATCCAAACTGAACTGAAAGGAAATACAAATCAAAAATATTTCATTTATTTAAAAACAAATCCAAGGACGTGACTCCACTGTGGATGTGTTCAGGTAAAACCTCAGTGACGGTGGCAGCAGGGGTGAAACGAAAAAGGGGGAAGGCTCCTTTTCTTCCAAGCTATGCAACCCTGAGTGCATAATCCATCACGCAGAGAGACATCTAAAGAGGGTTTTCTCGACAGCTTTGTTGTAGAGAATCACCAAATGGAACTTATATCCAAAGCCTGCTTTAACTAAGATTAATACGCACAAAATATACAGAGCCCTATAGTTTTGGAAGATACTTTTGGGTGCATAATTTAAAAAAATGTGATGGCTTCATTATTCTAGTTATTTATCCACTTTGCATACATTGTATGTGTGAAAATTAAGCAATTATGTTTTATGAGATTTTTTTTTCAAAGTGTAACTCAGTTAGGCCACACTTGATGTAGTATTTAGCCAACATAATTTACCCTTACAAATATTTATTATGGGTTTTTTAAATGAAGTTACAAAAATCCCATTTGATTTAAGTGGTTTGCACCTTTATAAATGTATTCCCAAGTTCCTGGTGTTGTGTGCTCTGTGTGGTGAGCGTAAACAGGCGCACATACGGGCACTGCTGAACATCTCCCTCTGCTCTTTTGTCCACCAGCCGTGCAGCAAGCGGGATGTTTACCATCCAAAACGTCCGCAGTGTTTGACTGTTGCCTCACAGAGCCATAGACAGGGACACTTGATACTGTACAGGGTTGCCTGATTAATGCAAATGTGATGAAAAAAGAAATCTCTAATGATTGCCTCCTTTGTCTTTGTGTGGCAATGACTGTCAAGCCTTTGTTTGACCACTCCCCGTGAATCCTATAAAGCCAAAGCTACACTTCCACTCAGACAGTTATAAGCATTGTTATTTAAAGAAAATAAAAATAATCCCGCCGATTTTTAAAAACTGGGCTGTTAAATGAGATGCAAACTAAATTATCCATTATAATCGCAAAGATTTATTTTACAGGCAAAAAGGAGGTGTATTGCAGAGTGCCCATTTATAGAGCAGCTAAGAAAATAATAAATATATTATTTATCATTAGAGTTAATTGGCCAAAAATAAATCTGGAACACGATGTATTTAAAACCCATTTTACATCTGAAAGAATACAGCAGAATAATGAGTTGTAGTGGATAATGTGTTATTATCCAGTAGGCTATATTACTCGAGCAGCCTACTATAGCAGGAAGTCGTCGCGTTGATAAATCCTACCACAAAAACTTCAGGATGTGCAGCTGCAAGCGATAGCTCCTTCTAAAAAAATGCGTCCTGTCAAAAGATTTACAATGTTACAAGAAACTAACCCTGTTTGTAATGAGGCGATTCTCACCACACATGGTAATCTCTGTCTCCACCCTCTGCCATTTTTCTTTCTCCGTATAAACAACTCTCCCTCTTTCTCTCTCTCACACGGATTACAGTTGTTGGCCTCTACTCATATTCTGTTTTTTCCCCTCCCTAGGTAAAGAAATGCAGGCTGTTCAAAGCAATGTTGTCTGAAGAAATATCGCAAAAGCTTCTTTCGGCGCCCCAAATTGCCAGCGGAATACTTTTGAAGTCCAGAGCTCTGCCATTGGAGGACGGTCACACGTGACTATACGGCACCCTTCTGGTAAATATTATTCAAATATTCCACATGGTTACTCCAAGTGCTCAACCCTGCATGGGCTTAGACATTCATGTTAATTGTGATCTGATATTAGACAGACAGAAGTCCAAGTCTTTAGTACTGTTGAGGGATTTATTTGAGACAGTTTGATGAGCTGGGTCCATGATGGACCCCCAACCGTCTGCCCTCCCACTGCAGCTGCATGGCAACAGTTTTGCTATGAGCTCTGGACAAGTGCCAAAACTAAGTGCTGGATACAATGAAGGAGGAGGAGGCCAAGATGCTGTTCTTCATCAGCAAACCATGACCTCCTCTGCTCGTGTCAGTTGCAGGTTGAACCCAGGTGAACAGTTCGGGTGCCCACTGGAGCCTCTGGTTCACTGCCATGCCAAGGGCAGGCAGGACATGAAGAGCAGGAGCTGCAGTCTACTCACCATCTGCCGCTCAGGAGTTATCTTTCCCTGGATGAATCAACGGACAGCTGACTCTGAACAATCTGGTAACTCTGCTTTCCTTTATTGTCATTTACTTTTTTAAAGCTATACATGAGTCTACATAATCTTCATTAGATGCTCTGATGGGGTGAATCCATACATTTGAATTTAATGAGCATTTCCATCATTTGTTCATTGAGTGCATAACTGATATCTGACCTTAGCTGTTATAGACTCTTTGTTGCACAAAGACACATGCTGAAACTACACAGTCAGCTCCTGGTTGTTAAAACTTTCTACTAACACATTTACACACAGAGCAAGCAAAAGTCTTACACAAACACATTTATCAGATGTAAAGGCTCTTTCTTCCCTATTAAGTTAAATACATCAATAAGTATTTATGTTACAGCATTAAATAAATATCAGTCTTACTCACATTGTTTGTACTTCGGGGTCGGTATAGGCAAAGTAATGATCACAAGCTGCAGTAAAGAATTATTGTTAAATAAAACTATAAACCTGTATCTGCAAATACCCTAATTCTATTATATTGCGTCTTGTAAAAATCTAAAATATGTTTATTTTGAGTGTAAAATGTCAGTTATTTTTACGACAAATGGTTATATTTACAAAAATTGATTTAAATGGATAAAAGAAAACTGTATATGATTCCCCAATATGCTTTTTTCAGAGATATATATAAACATCATTAGCTAGCATACAACCAGGAAGCTACAGACTGGTGATATTATCTGGTGATAAGGACAGCACTTTACAATCTAAGGTCACCACAGGCCTTATTAAGTATCCATTAACCCCAGTGTGTTATGTTGTTATCAACAGGACCCTGGTATTGCTCATATACATGTCAAATAAAATCTCTAATTGTGGTTATTTTCAGTGGTGGTCTCAAGGTACCTTTTAAGTGACTGAGATGGGGATTTGACAGGTCTGCTTCTGTGTGTAGCTGTGATTAATGTGGCCTGTCAGGCAGCCGTAGTGGCGTCAGATGTTTCCCCCAGACTGTTTCTTCGGGAGGTAACTTTCCCTGAACACATGACACAGTAGACAGCCAGTCTTGTATAGCGTCTCAAGCATGACTGAATACACAGGAAGAGCTGAGGGCCCTACTTTGTCCCAGGTTGATTGGCTGAGGATTAACGTGGACCTTACTGGCACTTGAAGTCCTTCTGTGGAGGTTGATAGACTTGTTAGAAATGTGGCTTTTAACACCCTCTCTTCTTTATGTGCTCCCTCCTGCATCAGTCAGTGGCAATGTGGCGGTGGGTCTGACAGGCGGAGGAAGGCTGGGTGTCAGGAGGGAAAGAACGGCTTTCACCAACAGCCAGCTGCTGGAGCTGGAGAAGGAGTTCCACTTTAGTCCCTACCTGTGTCGTCCTCGGAGGCTGGAGATGGCCGCCGGGCTGCAGCTCACCGATCGGCAAGTCAAGATCTGGTTTCAGAACCGCAGGATGAGGTACAAGAAGGAGCACAAGGATGGAGAGGTGACAGGTTCCTCACAGGGGTCTCCCTGCAAACCTTCCTTCAGCTCGAGCTCATGTGGGGATCACTTGGGGTTTCCGGGTGCATGTGTTGTAAGAACTTCCTCCTCCTCAGAGCTGCACTTCATGGATCACGCTCCTACGTCCTCCTCTCTTTATGGCCCTTACAGTGAGGTCGGCAGTGGTCAGTGTGTTCACCCCGCATACCTGTCCCATCAATGCGGCATACTTCCATCTGTTGCAAATGGTCCACCTCCTTCCTGTACAGCTGTAGATAATCATCACTATGCTGGCATTTTAAACTGGCCCTAGGGCCCCATAATGGCCATCCCTCCTGTGCTCATCCAAATCTCAATGATACATCCACTTTCACTTACTTATGAAAGACTGGGGTATGTCTTATTAGCATCCCTGGGTTGAAATCCCCTTAACGTTCGCCATTCATGAAACATTTTAATTAAACTATGAACATATCTTAATTAAAGCAGAGCTACAGTGATATCATTTGTGTTTCTCAGGCGTGGAAGACTGCAGGTTAAACTTGCTGCTCGTTTTGTACGTACACTGCATGAACAAGACATTCAAGCTTTTCAAATGACACCCTTTGCTGTAATTTTGTCGTTGTTTCATTTATATTGTCGTTGCATGTTAAATGCATGTGTGAATCATATTAACAGTATTTTTTTTCTATTTCCCTCTGTTGTCAGAGAATAGCTAAGTGGTTGTCATATTTTCTAAGTGTCACATTTGGCTCCTTTTTTATTATCTACTGTTAATAAAAGGTAATTTGTGTAAAATGTTTTAACTGTGATAAAATGTTCATATCGACCAATGTTATATTTTGTTAAAGCCATTAAAGGGTACAGCAAGTCTTTGATACAGCTCTTGATTCATTGAGATGTCATATACTGTACATGCTTAATAAATGCATTTGGGAAAACTGTAGCTCTTGTGCAATGTTTACCCTATTCATCGCTGATTAGAGTTACATTTTTCTAGCAGTATTTCATGATTAAGGATTCCTGGACTACATCCCAAAGGGGGAAAAAAAAATCGGAAAGTAATCAAATTAAAGCATGCTTTAGATTCATTGAAAACTCTACAGTATTGTGCATTCAAGTTGCACAATCTTGCCACATAAGCCTCTCCCTCGCTCCTGCCTCCAAGTTCCCCACCATTAATCACTGAGACAAGGCAGTCTTTCCAGCACTCCAACCACAAGTCTGAACCCACTGGGCACCATGACAAGATCTGTTGCCTCCTCCTTCCCAAGGCTTGCCTTTTCAATAGCCAAATTGTAGTGCTGCAAGTCGGGGCTGGCCTCCGTCTCAGGGGCCATGTTAGTTGTGTAGCTTAGACGTCCTTCCAGCAGCCCATAGGCCACAACAGACCAATGAGGTTCAATCACTAATGACAACATATTATCTTAGCGAAAAATCAGACGTTGTTTTTTAACAGCATCCACTGTGCCGTTGAGACAAGGGGATTCTCACATGTAAATGATGTCACAGAGAAAAAAATGTTCTTGCTTTATCTGACTTCATGATTTCCACTCAGCTAAATTACTCACACAGGGAATTGTGCGTTTATTTGACAGAAGTAGGCCACAGGTTCTCTTGGGACTCGACAGCTTTACACGTCAAACACAGACAACAACTTTCATGATGGAGTGAAACTCCTCTTACACTTGATAATGTGAGCAGGAGTGTTAATACTCCTAACACAACATCACACATTTTTTGGACATGCTGACACTTTTATATCAGTGGCTGTACAGTAAATGAGCTGTCACAGAGAACTACTGACAGCAATGAAATGAGAAAGCTGATCCCCGGGTGGTCCTGGATAGAATTACCTCTCGCTCCTAATTCATTAGCTAATCAGCCCGTGGATCAGCTGTCATTTTGGTAAATATTTGACACCATTTCAGCCTTACTCAGTAGGTATCATGGGAGCTATACATTGCTATAACTCTGTGGACATTTTGAATAAAATAAAATGAGGTCTACACTTTAACTGTATCAGAGAGATCGTGACAGTGGCGTAATTTTAGAGAAAAGCAATAAAGGCAAGAGAAATAGACGAAGAAAAAGTTATCCCTTTTAAATAAGTCGCCTACAGAGAGAGAGAGAGAGAGAGAGAGAGAGAGAGAGAGAGAGAGAGAGAGAGAGAGGGGGGGGGGGGGGGGGGGGATTGTGAAGAAGGAGAAGCGCACAGTGTTGGATTCCTGAGATTCTTGGTGTGATTTATGGTGTTAATGGAGCCGAGGCTCAATAGGAACTTTACCTCTGGTTCCTCACCACATTCTCTTTCCAGACGCTGAAGCCAGGAGGATCCATGCACTGAAGTGCAGTAATTCAGTGGACCCCCGTCCACTGAATTACTGCACTTCAGTGCATGGATCCTCCTGGGGGTCATGGGGGATCCCCAAGGGTCAAGGAAAGCCCCCCGCCCCCCCAAGGGCCCCAGTGCGAGGGGGAACAGTCTACTTCCATTTGAACATTAAGTTAGCCAGTTGTTCTCACATTGGCTCGCTCCCACTTAGCAACTAAACTCATTATTTCCTTTTTGCTCACTTGACCCCAGTGTGATGACATCTGTTTTCATGAGGGCAGAGCTTGAAAGCCAAAAATCCTTGTTATTTTGTTAGAAAAATTCTGGGCTTTGATCAGACTGGAGCATTGCATTAAGAGGTTATTTGAAGTGATAAATTATGCCAGTCATGGTGCCATGAAACCAGCTTTGGTTACGGTCCATCATTAATTTCAAGATTTTGCGTGATGTCCTTTACAGTGACTGATGTACCACTGTCCAATCTGCAGCTGTTGTGAAACTGATTTTGGGGTAAGACTTGAAACATGTTCTATGCATCAAGACTCTCTTAAGCTGCCATGAAAAGAAAACGGCTGTGTCTTTAACATCGGCGTGCAGCTTTAAGTATCTCTCAAAGCATTTGCCCCTGTACTAAACAAATGTAAAGCCTGAAAACTATAACCATAAGCTGCTGGTGTCAACTGTAGTCTAATGTTATGATGTAGGTATTCCAACCTTTATTTGGAGATCACTATTAGAGTAAAACATTATAATAATAATAATAATAATAATAAATGCAAATCATCTATGTGTGTGTTTGCTCTGCCTGTTTATATTCTCATAGACTGTTGAGCTGAGTCCCCAAAGATTCATCCATGCAACATTGACACCTCTTTCTCTCATCACTTGAACAGTACTTTGGGAATGCTTTAGTCTCTGTTTTTATTTTTATATCTTCATCATTACAATCCCAACGTCACTAATTATTGCCAGGATTTACACATTTCTAAAGCATTTTGAAAGCACTGCTGTTTCCACTTTTACTTTATGTCTGGGGACGCAATGAGCAACATACCACATTGACCCAACCTTTGCAAAAGAAAAAAAGATAAAAAAGAAAAAGCTGCTGAATCACTTACAGTAACATTCAATGTGATTTAT